GTCCATATTGCAGGAGACCCCAGTTTGCATGAACTTGCAAGGGGGAAATAATCTCCAAATTTTCAGGAGGTGGCTGCAGAGGGCGATTCCCTCAGAGGGAGCTCACAGCATCGATATCACCACTGCACGCTCGCAGTCCCCGTTGTTTATACCCAGTGCAATCACATTCATTGCCCCATCGCTCTGTCTGCTCCTGAAATAATTGAAGCAGCCCACCTTAACCATAAATAAATAAACTAAAAAAAAGTGCCCTTTAAATCAGAGAGCTTTGAAGTCCCTCTGTAAGCCTGTGCTGCTCTCACTGTATGGGCTGGTGCACTCTCCAGCACGCCGCATTACCGACTCGGAGAGCAAAACCAAACACCTCTGTTTGAGGCAGCAACAGCAGCAAGGTCTGCCCAGCTCGGCCCTGACAGCCCCTAGGTGCACAGCAAAGTGCACGGAAGCTTTCACCCCAGCAACTACACCCCAAGCGCCTCCAGGAATACTTTTGCAGCGTGAGAACTTTTTCCAGCTTTTTCCACTGCATCCTCCCCTTTCCTGGGTGTTGGGAAATAGAAGCATCCGGAGGCAGGTGCTTCTGTGACCCGTCGCCAGGCTGTGCAGGGCAAAGGGGCTGCAGACCTGCTCTTGCTTTCCAACTCCCATACACAAAAGGTCTGAGCAAATGCGCCCGGTTGACGGGACACGTGTGCTTAGACAGCTCCTGCTGTCACACACTCCAAAAGCTCCCAGGAGCGCTGCTAGTGAGCCCTTATCCCAGCCCTGTGCAAAGGCCACAGAAGTTTTCTGAAGGCAAAGGCATCAGCGGACCCCGCTTGGCACCTGGACACGCGTTCATGCTCCAGGTCAGAACACAATTCCTGCGCTCGCTCCACACAGCCCAGTCAATGTATTTTATACCTGGTCTCATCTCACGGGCAAATTTGCACCACGCTGCATATGCAAGTGACATTTGATAACTCAAAATGAAAGAAAAAGAAAGAAAGAAAAAAAAACAGTGAATATCAGAAAAGGGTAAGTTGCTTCCTTTCTGCCTCTCGCTGTCTTAAGATCTTCCGTAGCAGTGACAACAGCAGCATCTGGTGGCAGTGGTCAGTACCTTGGCTGCTCCTCTCGGGTCCCATCCTCCCGTGCCCGCAACATGAACATAGGAACATGTCCCTCTGTCCACCCGCCGCCTTCCCTAGGGACAAGGAGGAGCCGCCTTGCTCCAGCCCCGGCTCCCGGCGCACCCACCGCGCTCCTCTTGCTCAGCAAGGAGCCTGGGATCAATTGCAACAGCCTAATCCAGGACTAATCCCCGGGAATCAGGCCACGGATGACCTCACGGAAGAGGCCACAGCGGGAGGCACAGGTACAGCGTGCAGGGAGCCCATTGCTTCTGCAGCCGCCCGACACGGAGCAAAACCCAAACGCTGCAGGACAAACTAGATCATATTAACGGCTAAAAACTTCTCAGCACAACCCAGTGCAAACAGCCAGCGGGATTTGGGGGTTGCCGCAATTCCCCATGGCATTGCACGCTCCCGCGTACTTCAGCACCCAACATCTCAGCAGCAGAAATAATCTGCTCCCAGGTAGCTCGGCTCTGGGTCGTTAGCATTTTAAGAGCATAGTCAGTATTTTAAGAGCATCAGCAACAGTAATAAAACAACTTGAAACTAGCAGTGTCGGGCTGCAGGACAAGTTGTTCCCCTTTAAGCAATTTCCTTTTGAGACACACGGGCAATCGCAAAATAAATGGTGACTACCACATTCGCAACAACTTCAGAGAGACATAAAGGAAAACAACTGGCAGGGAAGAGTTAAGCACACATAGCCGAGCGGGGCTGATTTGCAGCCTGTGCGAAGCCGCTTCCCTTCAGCTTGTTTTCAAATAGAGTTTGAGCCTCGAGTCCTGAGACAGCAGGACAGGCTGCTCGCATCCCCGACGCAGCAGAGCGTTTTCTCCCTTTATTAACTTTTTATAGGGGCAATTACCAGAATTCGGCCCAGCAGGAGGCTGCCAGGGTTAGACCTCCAGTTTCTCCTCCCTGGAAAGGGCTCCTATTGCCCTTGCGCTCTCTGCCTCGCCACAGGTGATGCTCCCAGTTAGCTGCTTCTCCCTGGAGCACAGCAGCCTCCTCCGCTGCGGCTCCGCTCGGATGCGGGATGTCTCCTCGTACACCTGCGGCCCTCCACGCATTCCCTCCCGCTTGCAGGAGCGGGGACTCTTCCTGGCAAGCGGGTTCAATGCTGGGAGGGGACACGGGCAGCGCACTCGGCTCAGGGCGCGACCCTTGGCTGGGGCGGGTAGAGCCCGAGGCAACAACCCGAGCGGGGAGAGACTGATAGAGGTGGAGAAAAGTGCCCGACAACAACACCACCGCACGCGGACCTCGCCTGGGGCCAAACGCTCCGCTAGGAAGAACGTGAATTAAAGAAGCACAATAAAAGAAAAAGAAGAAAACCGCGCTCCGAGGACACCTCCTCACGCGGCGCGTCTCGCTCCCGCCCGCACCTCGGCGGCCGGAGCCGCGGCCCGGCGCGGGGAGCAGCGCTCCAGCCCGGCGCCTCCTCCGCTCCGCACCGCTCCGCACCGCGGGCCCCGCGGCGGCCCCGACGGCTCCGCCGCCACTTTCCAAACTCCGTCGCGGCGGCGGCTGCCGGGGGCGGAGGGGAGGTAAAGGAGGGGGCGCCGCCGTTAACACTTTCCTCCCACCCGCGGGGAAGTTTGCGGCGCTCCGCGGGACCCCGCTGCGCACCCCGCGCCGGTACCTTGTTGCAGTGATAATAATCCAGCGGGCCGAGGCAGGGCGGGTCGGCGCCGGGCAGCGAGCCCACGGCCGTGGGGGCGGCGGGGTAAAACCTAACGTCCATGTCGGCGCTGCGGGCGGCAGGCGGGGGCTCCGGCGGGCATGGAGCCGGCGGCGGC